CGACTATTTTAATTAGTTTCGTTTTTCGCATGTTAATTTTCAAATAATGTAGTTTTATCTTCATATATTTCGATATGTATTTTTTTATTTTTATTTTTAAGTAATTATATTTTATTTAGTTACTTTTAGAGGACCCCTCTGTAAACCACTTTTTTGTGATGTTGGCATCCTCAATAAAGATTAACTATTATTATTATTATTAAAGAAGAACACTTTTGAGAAAAATTTTGCAGAAGATCTGACCTCTTATTTCTCCTGACAGCATCGCCCTTCAGTGTTGTCGTTGAGCGCCGGCACCTGGTGAAATTCGCCGGCTGGGAAAGAGATAGTCACCAGCTGAATTTTCGCTGGTAATCGCTTGACGGTCAAGTCTCGACTTTTTTACAGTTTAAGTGAAAAATGAAAATACCTTGCTGTTTGAAAACAAAAAGGTGAAAATAATTACTGAACTACATCTAAGCCGCAGAATTATTAAAGGTGAAATGAAGTGTTGCTTGGAATTAACTGGTCTTAACTGATCTGTAGTGTCTCTCTCTGTTTCTGATCGCCATTTTGTAAACTCAAAGCTTGGTAGCCCTGCAGACAAGATGTTGCAAACGACTGGACCGCAGCCGCCTGAATGGCTTCCTTAACCGGCATGCCATTTTCTTAGCTATAACACTGGCCCTTGATCTAATGTAAACTGGTCATGAGAATAAAGGAAATGATCACCAATTTGACAAAAACCCCTGGATGTCAATCAAATTTTCCTTTTCATTATCATGGAAAAGGGAGAGACTACCTTTCTACAACATTAAGAAATGGTTAGATATTCTAGTCTTCTTGGATAGGGACGAATAAATGGAGGTCCCGTCTCCTGTAGGGTTAGGGGCATTAGACGTTAATTTCCAACGCACGAGATTACTGTGTGATGGATGTCCTCCTCTGGGGTGGAAAAGGTGGTTAACAGGACCCCCGTTGATAGCAGTGTTTACTACACTGAAGGGGCTATCCTGTATAAATATAGATGTCTACTCTACTCTACTCTAGTGTGAAGAGTAGAAATGTTATTGTTAGGGTGTGGCCATGGAGAGTTTACTCTTTCTCTTCCGAGATCTCATTGGTAATTCTCCCAACTGTCTGTGATACAATTCTTATGATGTTACTTTAGAGAACTTGGTATCTGATGAACTAATAATCCCATGGTTGATATTTTTCTTTATTCTCATCACTTGTCTTCTTGATCTCCTATTGGTATTGTAAGGAGAAATTCTGTCTTGGTCACCCACAGGAGTGAATGAATTATACATTTTGTCAGAGGTGTAGGATGACGAGAATGTACATAGGATCTTCTTCATTTCATGACTGAGCCCCAAATTCACATATTTTCTTATTCAGTGAAAGATATGCACTCAATTCAAATTAAGAAAAAATATATTTCCCAATGTCATTTCAGTGTCGAATCTATGTGAGGTTTGCGAGTTGCACACATGATAAATACTGGCCTTGCAATGTCACTAAAAGCATTTGAGAATCTGCTGCCTTAATTTTTTCGACAATAACCTAGAGAGACGTCTTGAGCGAGAAGAAAAGCTCGTATCACCATCGGATCAGAGATTTGCCCGCAACCTTGAATGAGCACTGCTTCTGGGGAACCCATGATCCAATGCAACGAACCCAGCGTGCAAAACGCTCAACTTGTTCTGATCTCGAGCCTAGGTTCATTTGGCTCCTCGTCAGCGCTTTATGGGCGCCAAAATAATGTCATTGAAGTTATTTTCGAAACAGGCCTGGGGTCTGTACTTGACTGTCTCACTGCAGGTGTCTGTGAAATGGACCACTTTGGGAAGATATTTCTAATACTCCAGGTTTGTGTGGAGCTTAATGAGAGCATCGTTCTCCCAGCTGAAGCCAATCTTTTTAGTTCGTAAAAATTGAGTCTTACAGAATGATCCACCGGAATTCATAGATCGTGTAAGCCAATCATCTGCCCTAAAAAAAGAGAACATGAGCTTATATTCTTTTTCCAAATGTACATATTAAAGATCACAGAACTCGATTTGGTGCAAGCCAAACGTGGGTTTTCAAGGTTTCATCAATAGAAACTTAACTCAAGGAAGAGTAAAAAAAGATTCTGCTGAAGAGTTGCGAGCCACTTTAAAAGTAGGACCGAATTTTAGGTGGTGCTAAACATTCTATTCCCTTAGCCCCCCTCTCCCCCCCTCCGACCACCCCACGGCCCCTGTGTCCCAGCTAAACATGGTAAGCCTATTTATTTCATCTCCTTTTCATCCTTTTTGATGAATGATATCTGACTACAAAAGGAAAAATGAAAGATGAACGACAGGAAATTTGAATTTTGATGTTTAAGCTGGACCGAGACATGATATGTTATACCGCATCTCGACCTATACTTCTAGTTATAGCTGAAACCAGTCTTTCGTTTATCATTGTTTGATACGGCTCACTATGTGCAAAATCATCCCTCACTGACGAGGATCGGTTCTTTACAAACACGTACCCAACCTGACCTAGTCTTTTAATTCATCGGAGAAAATAAATTGACCTTGACACCTACGTATGATCATGGCTCGCCTTAATAAAGGTAAGAATTGTTTTAATTGATAAACACGAGAGCTTGAAATCAGAAAAAAAATTTTCAGGGCCAATTCATACTTCTATTCTTCTATTCACAGCTACCCTTCACAAGCCAGATTCATTGGGGGAAACTCTGGCTTACTTTATAACTCGATATCAGCCCCCGTACATTGCTCAAGTGTTGGAGGGAGTCGAGAGCCATAATGGAGCTTGTTCTGTATCAGTTGACGAATTGTTGACCGTACACAAAAGCGTGCAGCTGAGGCGAATCAGAATGAGGGATTCCAAAGGTAAGCACTATTTCTTGCCCGTTGACAACTCAACGCGCGTTGAAATCGTACCCAAGACTCGTACACGCCTTACAAAAAGTTTTGGCCCTCATCTGATCCGCACAGCAAGGTTTCTGCGCGTCTTGAGAGATGTTCCTGAGCTGAAACTCAACGAGGGAGATGTTTTAGAACCTTTTCTGTTTGAATCCACGAGCAATACTGAAGCGGAAACTTTAAAATGCAAAATTCTTCGTCAGCCAGGAAAGGAAATTAGACTCCCACTTCACTGGAGAGTACCTCTTGAGTCTTTTCAAGACTTCAACCCAAGAAGCTACACCATAAGATATGTAGCTGATAATATTGCTTTTCCAGTGGCTGTGAGATTTGTTGGGAACGTAGTATTCTACTCTGATGTAACAGCAAGTTTGAGAGGAGAATTTTATTTCGAGGAGGTTGTGGAAGAGACCATCGTTATCGCAACCACAGGAGTAAAACAGGATCAGTTTACGATTCTAAAACTCCCCCTCGATCTACCAGTAACCTTATATCCTATCAAAAAGCTTCATTGCGATTCAAAATACATTAATCGATATTGGAAATACCTACAGGAAGAATTGGATAAGCTTGAAAAGCAGATTACAACTGTTGATAATGACCTTCTACCCTCGAGTCATTTTGAAAATATGGGGCGAGTTGCGCGGCTTCACGAGGAAATTGGAGATCATCTTAAGACAATGAGAGAATGCCAGCCAGCTGTAAAGGGTTTAGACAAAGGCGTGGTCGTTCCAAAGCCAAATCTTTGTGAAGATTTCTACGAGCCAATGATGCCCTCCCTGATAAACGAGGTAGACAAATGCATGCCGTTTCAAGAGGAGGTTGAACATAATTACGAAGCTATGAGCTCCTGCACATTAGGCAAACAAAGCGAGTATGCGTCTGTTTTCGATGGGGGCATCAACAGTTACGATGCCGTGGAACCCTTACCTTGCTCTGTTCCGTATTCGAGTGCAAAGAGACGGCAGAGCTTTCGCAGTAAAAGCGTTGAGAGCCTCCGGGAGGAACCTTTCTATTCCTCGCTTACTTCCATTTTTCAAGGAGCCTCTCCCTTAGAAAGACCGCCACATGTGTATGAGAAATTGGAGAACAAATCGTCGACGGCATTGCTAAGGAAAACGAAATCTAAAAAAGATCGCATAAAAAGCTAAGAGGCATAATTTTACCATTTTTAAATCATCGGAATACTGAAGGCGTGTGTCAGAAAAAAATAAAATAGATTAGTCCATTGAGGATTCCGAAAAAATTCTTGCATGGGCAAACTCCCATTAAAGCAATAGTTCGGTTTTTTTTTTTTTTTAAGAAAAAGTGTTCAAATTTCAGAAATGGTGCTTTTTCCGATCATGTTATCTTGCATGATCATATCAAACTAGTACTTATTGCCCTTGAAGGTGAACATTTGCTTCCACTGGCGTCCAGGATAGCGCGGACACAAGTTTTCGTTCTGTGCTTGCGCATTGTTGTTTCACTGGGAAAGGATAAAAATGAAACAAATATGGCGGCCAGAGTGAAGAGAGAGTCTACTGCGCCAAAACGGTATGTGGACGAGGTTTTGTCAGAAATGTCATCCAAAAAGATGAAAAAAGAAAAAGCCGATCGTAAACTTTATCCTGTCGATGTGATAGACGTGGAAAAGATTGGAAAGCGAGTGAAAATTAACTATGAAAATTAACTACAGCGAACGGTACGACGAGTGGCGGCCATGTGATAGTGGGGATAGCAACCCTCCTTTCCAGCGGATGGAATCTCTTCCTATTCCTTCTAGTACTTCTCTTGAGGACCGGACGGAATAAGTCCATGGAGAACTGTATCGTGAAATAAAAAGAAAACTGTATTCTGGCCGAAAGGATGATCCAGCAACCCGTGTTGAAATTCGAATTGATCAGGATGTGTTTGATGAAGGACTGGCATTAGCAGGTAAGCCAAGTAAAGAAAGAGGGAAGACTGTCTATCGGATCGACTCCAATGAGGCATTAAACCATTTGCTGGGAATCAAATGGGATGAACGCATTTTCAATGAAAATGGTGATTTTGCATTTGTCTTTGATAAAACAGTGCGTTTCTGGTTGTCTAGAAAGACTGCCATCCAAGAATTTAAGGTAATAGGGGGAAAATACATTAGATCTGAAATAGAGGACAATTTATGCGTAGTATTTACATTTGTAAGGGGTGATGGAAATAAGCATAATTATGCTACAAAAAACTGATTATCGTTATTAAATGTCTTCATGCTTTTCCATTCCTCTTAAAAAAAATCATTGTGCAATTACATTATATATTATATTATTGTAGTATACATATATCTGTATATACTGACATGACAGGGCTGTAAATAAGGGCCATAACCCATAACACTCGGCAGCTGAGTTAGTTTGATTTTGACTGGATATTACGTATCCACTCAAAATGGTTACTGTTAGCAAAGAGACTGCTATCAACAATATTGTTAGGGATGAAACATTAAAGCCAGTGGGTGTTTCACTGAAACTTATTGTCAGCCCTGTGGTATCTATATGTGTAAACTTTACAAAGATCAGACTGAACTTTTCAGGTTACAATCCAAGTACAGTGTATGTTGATGTTGTCAACTGGTAAATAAAATTATAGTGATTTTTTTTTGGTTATTTGCATATAAATGTGTCTTCCAAATATTACAGAAGGTTTAAATAGAGTTGTGCATTCATGTCTTATGACACTTCCTTTAAAATGATTTTTATTATTTTTTATGGAATCAGGGAGTTTGCAATTTCTCCATCCCTCTCAAAACATTGAGCATGACCATATGTGACTTTGCACTGTACTACAACTAAGTACATTTGATTTACAATGTTTCTGTAGTAAGAAACTAGATTTTATGCCAAGAGTATCTTTATCTTTAGTTGACCGTCATAGAACATCTTGGCACCCACTTACCTTCAGTTTTTACAAGGTGTGAGCAACAAGTACAATGATAGCATTTTTTGTATTGCTTGGTACAAGTTTTGATAGTATGTGTCCTTTTATGCATAAACTTATAAATGACAGTGAGAGAAACAGCATGATTACTCGAGGCACAGACTATCATAGTCATAACACTCGCTCCAAGGAAATTATTAGATCTGTTAGATCAAACACGAATTGGGGTCTACTCAGATCTTTTAATAGTGCATTGACAGACTGGAATTCCCTCCCAGAAGACATGAAATGTCTACCCTATGATGCTTTTAAAATTTCATTGCTTAAATATTTTGAATTTTAATAGGTTCCGTTAGTGTGTCATCTCTTATACATTGATTTTATTATTTTCTGTTCATGTCATATTTTAGATATTTCATATTTTAGATATTTCATATTTTAGATATTTCATATTTTAGATATTTCATATTTCAACCATGAGTTTTTACTTATTAATTACATGATTACGTATTTTATACATTGTTAATTTTGAGGGCCTCACTGAAAACCGCTATGGCGAGCTGGGCTCCCTCTTTAAATATTTTTTATAAATAAATAAATAGAATTGCTACATTGATAACTTTGTTTTACCCTCAAATAACCAGCAGCTTCCAGAAATTGAACTCTGTATTTTTTTTAGTTGAACCTATTTCAAAGCAGAAATTCCTTTGTGATTAGAGGATCTAAAGTAATTTTTTGAAGCTACATCATTATATTTTTCCATACCCTGCTGATTGAAAAATGCAACATTTTTGTACAACTTTAAAAATTCTGGAACACGAGAATAGAGGGCATGCATATAAGGGGTGACATCCTTGGCTTGATGTAGGGACAAAAATATTTTAAACCAGCCTTTAATTTTTTCCTCAAGTTGTGCAATTGACTCATCTGTTTTATAATCCAGTTTTAAATCACCAGTGATTTCCATAAACTCACTCCATAGCTGCTGCTGTTTTTCTCTATTTTGGTCACCTGGCAAAAAGAAAGGAAAGTCAATGTTTTGCATTACAGTTAGTTTTTCTGGGCTATTTAAATCTCTGTAGTCCAGCTTTTTTGTATCTTTGTTGATCCTCCACTCAAAAGAAATGCTAAGGTTCTTCAGGAATGCTTCATACCTGGCCATATGCTTAAACTTCTCTCAAGAAAATCCATTTGGAAATGTTGCCTTCTCACATGCATCCCTTTCTCCTCAATTTTCTAATTAAAAGTTCAGTCATGTTATCAGATATGCAAAGAAATAATTGTAAAGTATCAATAATTACACGATCAAGTGGTGTGAAGCTAAATAATGGAGTTGCTTTGCAGTTGAGCTCTTTAGATTTAGCAAAGTTGGCAATCTCCTCCAGTGATCTCGCACCCTGGGCACTACTGCTAAGGGAGAGTATACTCTTTGGATGTCATGCCTCTGATATCAAGGGCATTTGCACCAAATACATGCATTATAGACTTGAATATTCCAATAATCTTTTATTTACAAAGATCTGGTTTAACTGTACAAAAAAGGAAACGTGTAAACAAAACGAAGCGAAACGAAAAACTACAGTGAAAACATACAAGATTTGTTGACTCGAGGAATAAGTGAATAAACTAATGAGAAAACAATCGAACATCCAAAACGAATTTTTTACCTCAGCAAGTGCGAGCACATGGTTTATCCCCTAATATTTCACAATTTAAATGACATAATTGTACCAGTCCCGCGCGGAATGAACACAAGAAACAAAGTAAACAATTGTGGAACGTTTTGTAACTTAGATGCATGATCTTGGTTAGCTGGCCCTAACCCACATACACATGCTAAAAACGTCCAATCCCTACCCAAGAAGTATTCAATATCATAGTGTTTCCCTCCCACCTTAACCTTACTTAATTTAGTCATTTCTGCTGTTAAATCAGGGAGCTGTTAATGCTGTCGTATTAGATTAGTACAGCGGCATTTAGTTTAAGTTTTGTTACCAGTCTTCGCTTGGACAAGTGACACATGTTTTTACTGTTCGAGAAGACAAGGTTGTACCTCGGCCAACCTAAACGAATTTCAGGGCGTTAAATTTGCTTTGAGGATCTTACTGTCAACGGTTTTACTCGTCCTATATAAACGGAAAGACTAAACGCAAACGGAGGGCGATGTAACAAGGAACCTAAGGATTGATTAAAGGTGCAAACAATTCTACGAGGCCGAGCGTTTTTAATCTTCAGGACAGTATTTATAACCGACAGTTACAGAGGCTTTCTTTGAGGGTGTCATAGCTGTCAGTGGTCTTAAGTATAGCAAGGACATAATTGCCCTTTTCACTCATTGCAGCCTCTTTCAGCATCTCCAGGTGTCCTTTTTATGTTCCACTGTTTGTTCCACCGCCTCCCGGTTAGCTCAATGGATAGAGCGCTGGACTGTTGTGCAGGAGGTCGAGGGTTCGAGCCCCGGCTGGACCAACACTCAAGGTCTTAAAATAATTGAGAAGAATTTGCCACCTTTCTATAACATCAAGAAACGGTTAGATATTCTAGTCTTCTCGGATAGGGACGAATAAATGGAGGTCCCGTCTCCTGCAGGGTTGGGGCAGGAGACGTTAATTTTCCACACACGAGATTACTGTGTGATGGATGTCCTCCCCTGGGGTGGGATGGGTGGGTTAGGACAGCAGGTCCACATCAGCTATTACAGCTGCCAAATTAATCAACCTGCTAAAACAAATAAATAAACTTCAATTCATTTACCCTTTAGGAAGTTTGATAAGTATTTGGTATGGATTTAGATTTCATTTCTAGTTCATTATGCCTTGCCTCATTGGAGATGTTAAATTTGTCTTTTATATAAATCCAATAGTTCATGTCATCAACCTGGCTATCATTTAGTTCGTTTGTCGCATTTGCTGATCGTGGCAGTTGATCCTCGTCTATTGAATTAAAAGTGTCATATTGTTCTGTATCAGTGTATCACTTTGGTGGCCATGAAATTGTATAGCCCAAGGAAAGTAAGAATCGCCTGTCAATCCTCTTTCAATTGCTTTTTGATCCTACTTTGGTGGTGCTTTGAGTACTCACCAAACGCTTTTTTTTCGGGGCCGCGGGCACCTTTTTTGTCCATGTTTGCAACTTTTTTAACTAAGCTTTGAAATTTTCTGAGGTAACTGCAGCTTCTCTCTGCTTTATCAAGCTTTTTCTCAAGCTTCTGTCTGTTGTTTCTTCCTCCAAAGATTCTTCTAGTGTTCGTTTCTGCCTTCTTAAATCCTGATTTTCCTTTTCAATTAGGTACTTCAAGTCATGATAAAATATCTTGACTTTATACGCCATTTGCCAAGAAGCCTTTTGACACCGCCACCACCACATTTCTTCCTTTCCCTCTCGATGTCAGCATTGAGAAGCCCGATCTTTTTCCCAAAAATATTAATTATTCGGCCGTTCACAATGACACCGCGGACCCCTGCTTCTTTCATAATTTTTTCCACAATGGCGGCTAAAGCAGATTCGCTAGCACCCTCTTCCTTCTCTTTGGCGATAGTGTAGAGGAGATGGCTGAAAAATTGATTTAAAAAAATATTATCAGACATATTTGAGAAATTGACAACAAAAAGTTTGGTATAATTTAACGAGTTCTGCCACAGTTTTAAACGCCAAACCGTGACAAGAGTTTAAAATCGTCGTAAATATTGCGAAATCCAGATTTGGAAAATTGCAATTTGACCCATTGAATTTTGCAGCTATAACTTTCAAATGTATCTTTGAAAGTGCAAAGTCGGTTAAATAGATCGCTTCTCGGCCTTTTGGCTAAGATAAAGTGTCTTAGCCGCAAGCCAGAATAGTCCTATTTTGTTCGTCAGTCAAATTTTATTCGCAGGCTTTTTCTCTACAAGTTTTTACACGCGTTTCAAGCCTTCGGAGATCATAGAAGTGGTGAGTACGGCAGATTTGATTTCTGTGGTTTTTGTGGCTACACTCCAGACACCGCTGAATGGCGCTGAGCCGACCACGGCCTTTGTTCGCTCACCGGCGTACTGTTCGCCCTATAATGGAAGATTCTATGGAACTAGACTCATTGAATATTGCCAAGTCCCTGCCAGACTTCGCTAAACACATACGCGGAATTGTGCCACAATTCGGAGGCAAATGCTTCGATATCACCCTAGAATCAGCTGAAAAAGCTGCTGAACTCGCAAACGCCGGTTTTGACTACGGCGACGTGCGAAAACCCCTCCGTTTGCTGGGCAAACGCTCAATCCATTTGTCTGTTCGTCTCTGTGGAATTCCCGGACGACGAACTGGTCAAGCTCCTCTCCACCTATGGGGAATTAAAATCCGCTAACCTACGCCGCCTACATTATCCGGAGGCTGGTTATACGCATATTGAAAATGGCATCAGGGTCGCCGAGTTTACAGCAATCGAGAGAGATATTCCTAAACGCCTCGTGGTCGGTGGCGTTGAGATCGGGTTCAACTACACAGGTCAACCCAGCACGTACTATCGCTGTCACTCAACCGAGCAAGTGGTGAAAAATTGTCCTAGACGCCGCCGCCCACCCCTTGCCCCCACAACCGACCTCATCCCGGCTAGTGGATTTGACCCAGACCCCGCGGGCGAAGCCGATATGGATAACAACGCTGCTACACGCGACTGGGTGGCCAACAGCGAAGAGCCTTTCTCCCCATCAACCTACGCCGAAGCCGCTGCCAACCAAAACTCCCC